TCGTGGTGGATGTGAGCTGCAGGTCCTGTCACCTCACACCCTGGGTAGTGAGGGCATTCCTCTGCCCCCATTTCAGGCGTTGTGGAGTGTCTAGGTTAAAGCCAAGGCTTCCTAGGCAGTCCATAATTTCCAGTATTAGGATCTCAAAGCATCTCCAGCATTCTTTAAAAAGGAATCTGGTTCCTAGGATAGGTTTCTAAACCAAGGTTGAATAAGGAGAGCACTCCCAAGTACAAAACAGCTGCTAACACACAACAACTGAGCTCCTGCAGTGCCATCCACACAGACCCTCCAGCCCCAACATATCATTAGCTCCATGTCTGAGAGCAAACAGCCTGTTGCAGAAGATACTGCTACAACTGCAGTGAGAGACTGACCTGCCTAAACCCCATGAGAGCTTTTAAAAGTCCTTCAAGAGCTCAATGAAACTTAAGCAGAAGCTGAAGGACTGCCAGGTGAGTAAGACCAGGACAGGAATCGATGCATGAATGGATTCCAGTGGATTCCATCCCACTTCAAGCACTGCTCAAGCTCTACAGACTTCTCCCTCCTCACTTACTTGAGAGCTGTCATTCCCTCCAGCGCATCCGCACTGTGCAGCAAGCACACCAGGGCATGGAGAACGAGACACACAGCGAGGCTGTGCTGCCCTTTTCCAGAGTCACAGGCCCAGCACCAGGTGACAGGTACAGCAGGTGCCTGCACAGCCCCTTCACCCCTCACACAAGCAGCTCATTGCAGAATGAGGAGGTTAAATGACCCGAAGTGGGTCACACAGCGATGCCAGCAGAGGAGCCAGCTCTGCTCAGCTGCTCTGGCAGCTCTGGCCAAGCGCTGCCGAGGCCAGCCCGGGGATCCGTGCTGCAGTCCCAGCTCCACGTGCTCGGCCCGGCCACTCCGAGCGGGGCTGTGCTCGGTAGATCATTCACAGCCACAAAGTTCCACCAGCGCTACACCTTCCGCAGCACCAGCCAATTCCTTTCACCTGAGACAAAGTCCACAGGGCCCGATAACGCTCGGCAGGTGCAGCACAACCCCGGCAACACAGGAAGGCTCGATTTCTGCCGTCCCACAGCCCCGGCTTTGCCCAAGAGGTGGGCTGCAGCCAAATACACCTTTAGGTGCCATTTCCTGCTATTATGGATAACATCCATGAAGAGGATGCCCTTGCTGAGATGCCTGTCCACTCTGTGGTCATGGCCTCACGGGATTATGGGACTGCAGTAAAGAACTCAGCCAGGCACAGATCGAGCTGCCCATTTCTGGAGCAGGAGTTACTTAGATCTCCCTTGCTTCAATCAGAGGGAAGAAGAAAAAGAGAGAGCAAACAACAAGGATTCGCCCAGGAAAGCAAGACACAACATCACTTCCTCAGTAGCAATATAATTTAATTCCTCTGCTCCCACCTGTATTCCATGCTGGCTTACGAACAAAAGGAGCCACTACAGCACATCAGAAGTTTTGCAAATAGCACTTTTTACGGCCATTACCATAACACAGGCAAGGCTCGCCAGACCAGACAGCATAGGGTGCCTTAATCTTCACCGCGACTCCGCGCCGCCCGTGCCACCTCCCGCCCTCACGGCGGGCGGGCAGCCCCGGCCGCAGCGCTGCCCTCAGAACGGGCGAACCGCCCCTGCCGCTGCCGCCCGGGACCGCGAGCAGGACGCAGAGCGGCCCTGCAGGGCCCGGACCGGCCCCTCACCGCCCCCATCCCGGAGCAGGACACCGAGCTGCCCCGCGGGGCCCACACCGCCCGCTGCCGCCCCGCATCCCGACACGCACGGCCCCCGCCCGCTGCCCACGGCCGCGGTCACGGCGGGGCCGGAGCGCTGACCTTGGGCCGCGCGGGAGCGCTCCCGCCCCGGCCCGAGCGCCGGCACCGGGGCAGGCACGGCCGGGAGCGCGGCGGGGGGGCACCCTCAGCGCGCCCCGCAGCGCCGCCGCTGACAGCCACGGCCGCGGGCCCCGCCACTCCGCCAGCGGGCTGGCGGCGGCCCAGGGCGGTACTTACAGATGCTCCGGCGCGGCGGCGGAGCCCGGAGCGGTGCCGGGCCCGGTCCGGAGCGGTGCCGGTGCCGCCCCACGTGCCCCGGCCGGGCCGCCCGGCTCGGACATGCAGCGACACCGCCCCGCCCCGCCCCGCCCCTCTCGCGAGAGCGCCGCGTGCCGCGAGACTCCCGCGCGCGCGCGCAGCCCCGCCCCGTGCCCTGAGGGAGCGGAGCCGCGGCGGCGCCGGGGTCGGGCCGAGACCGGGATCGGTCTGCGGCCGGGATCGTGCCTGGGGCCGCTACGGGGCGGGCCTGAGGCTCGGGGAGAGTCCGGACGCGCCCCCTTCCTCCCCTTCCTCCCCTCCTCCCTCTCCCGCGGTAGTCGCGGGACGGGCGCAGACAGGCCCTGTGGGGCCGCCGAGGCCCAGCCCGGCCCACTCCCGCCATGTCCCTCATCCCGGGCCTCTGCCCACATGGGAGTTCGTTTCCCACAGCCCCGCGGGTCCCCGCAGCCCCGCTCCCCGCCTGGCCCCGGGGTTTGTGCCGGGTGCCCCGGTCGGGCCTCGGGCACCTCCACAAGTCGCTGGGCATGGCTCTTGTCACTGCTGCTCAAGGCCGCTACAGCACCCCCCGCCTGCCCGCCTCTGCATTCTGCTGGGACCTTCGGGCTGGGCCCGGAGCCAGAGCACCTCATTGCCTGCTAACACAGCCACACACCCAAGCAGGTGAATCTGAGCTTTAGACAGAGTTTTACACGAACGTTTGTCTGGTGGTGACACATTAGTGAGCAAATATTAGCCAGCAGCTACCGCAATGGTTTGGAACTGCGGGGCTGAACTAGAATGAGAAATGCAAATCTCTGTTCAGGCAAAGTTATTGCTCAGTTGCAGCACCACCAAGTTGGAATTAATAGAGACTTTCCATGTTATTGTGTAGGACTTGTGACATTTCCCCCCAGGGCTTTTGGCATCCTTGCAGAAGATCCAGTGTGTGACTGATTTCTCTGTCCCATGGAAGCTCTGAGGTTTTGGGGGGATGCACAGTAGTGCAGCATGGCTGATTGCTGCTGGCACTGCCACGCTCAGTGGGCTGTGTGACGGCTGATTCCAGGATAGCTCTGGGCAAGGCACTTGGAGGAGACAGGGAAATCATCGATGCTCTTCAAACCTGCCCCTTGCTTATTGACACGTGCCTGCAGCAGGCGGTGGGTATGTGAGAGTGTAAATGAGTAACTTGGAGAAACCACAGTCACGAGCAGGATTGTCCTTCCTAAATCACTGATTTGTCCAAGTATTTTTCCGTGAAAAGTTCCTGATTTGCCTCTATATTTTTGTTCGGAGCAGTTGGGAATTAATACTAAATACCCACTTAAAAACTCCAAATTGTGTCACACATGAAGTGGAAAAATCCATCGTTGTTGAGACTTTGCCCTTTTGATGTCCCTAATCTGAGGCCCTCAGAAGTTTTTCCGTTAAGAATTCCCAACCGACAGCCACCCTTGGCTGTTAGCGTTGGGCAATCCCGGCGTGTGCAGTGCCTGGTGGTCAAACATCAGGGGTTTGTCAAGGCCACAGCCACAGCCTGTGTCAGACACACACGGGCACCAGAACTGCTGAAACCCCCTGCAGTTTCATTCCCCCTGTCCTCACAGCCCGAGGAGGAGGAGGAGGAGGAGGAGGAGGAGGAGGAGGAGGGCTGGATGAGCAGCTCTTCAGCATTTGCACTGTGTCTTGCTGCACAGCCAGCTCTCCTGGGCAGACCTTGCTCTCCCAGTACCTAACTGGGGGTGGAAGCAGCAGAACAGATATTTCCAGTTTGTCTGAAGGACAGTATGCTATGAGAAAAAAACCTAAAATACTATTTAATAGTTCAGGGGGATTTTCTTGAGCTCTCCTGGCTATTTATAGCACTGTTATTTAAATATCCCAAAAGATCCTGTCATCAGAGGTTTTTTCATGATTCCTTTGAAGAACAAACCCATACTTATTTGAACAAGTCACATCATGAGAGTTGTTTTTGTACCCTTTCCACCCACACAAGCCTAGGAGTGATTTTCATTTGAGAGCTTGTTAAGCAGAGGAGCAGCCAGCTGAAGAGCCCCTGTTGCAAGGCACAAAGGACTCCCACATGAGAACTGTAGCTCGGGTAGGGGGACTGGCATGTCCCTGCTCTGAGAGGGGCACAGCTGCAGGAGTTGGCTCTGGCCCTTCCCTCTGGCACACAGGTGGCTCATCCATCACTTAGAGCTGAGCTCAGGTGCTCTGTCCCTGTCCTTGGAGCGGCCCAAGGGGAGCACAGACACACGTTTGGTAATGGGGTGAGTGACCAAGCAGAATCCAGTCCTGCAAGAGGACCTAAGGGAACAGGTGTCTCACCTGGGACAGTGCTGGGGCTCCTTCACCAGCAGCTCTGAGCCATCCTGGCTCAGCCATCAACAACTTGCTTTTCCTCCTTGTGCAGTTTTCACCTCCAGAACGGAATGCATTCCCCATTCAAGTAAATTCTGCATTTTTACTTTATTATTTTCCTCTGTAAAATATTTCAGCAGCATCAGCTGGGCAGGGATTTTGAAGCTATTCCCTTAGACAGAATTGCCTGCTCCAACAGGGCAATTTTCCCCTAAATACAGTTTTTCCAACTGCACATGTAACTAAAAGAAAACTTTCCTTTCATTTCTTCCCTGTGGCTACAGTGTAATTGTGCTCTCAAGTAGCAGGGAGGCTCCACTGTCCAAAAGAGGAACTTTAGGAATGTTTTTGACAGCAGTGATTGAGCATAGGAGTTGATTGCTCAGGAGCTGGCTCCTGCCTGGATCCCACTCCAGGTCCAACTCAAAACTAAGGAACATTTCCTCTGAAGTGAAGAAAATGAAATTTAACAGTTCACACACTGCTGCCCTTCCCCTCGTGCAGCCCCAGCTGGCAGCAGGAGCACAACAGGAATCACCTGTCCAGGTGTCTGCAGGTCTGTCTGTTCACCATGCAGGAACAATAAGATGTCTCAGAAAAAGTCAATGCAGTCACACTTTAATGTGTCTTTACATCCTTTTACGATTCACAAAGTCAGAATATAAGTACTTATACACTTTTAATGGGGAAGTAATGTATCCCCCTAAAAGAAAAATAGATGTGATTAATCATTTGTCAGAGAAGTTGCCTGACAGCTGAAACCTCAAGCTTCTAGGCAAAAAAAGCTCAAATAGACAAATTATACTGAATTGTTCTTTAAAGACCAAGCAGCTGTTTTATTACAATATTAAATTTACATTTTAAAAAGAAATATTCTGATTTATTATTCAGTTATGATAATCTTATTGAAGTGACATGAAATTCATGACAATGGGCTTTTTTCTTCCTCAGTCACCGCAGGCAATCTCAGATCTGTGCAGGATCCCACACCCAGAGCAGCACCAGTCTGGGAAGACAAACCCCAGACACTCAATTTGAACTGGAATCTTCATTTCCCCAGAAGAAGTGGGGTGTTGGGCTCTGTAACTGGGCTGGGTGCCTTGGTTCAGCCCCAAGGAGACCACCCAAGCTTGTTCCAGCAGAGAGAGGACATCAGTGTCCACCACCTTCACCCTGCAGCCCCGCAATGACCTTCAAACAACTGGGAGCAGGTTCAATTTACATTTTACTTCAAAAAAAAAGGGGAAGTACATACATGAGGGGAGGATGGGGTGAACAATAATTATCTGAAAGCAGGTTTCCACCATTCTGACCCACAGCTCCCAGCAGCTGGGGAGCAGCGGGCTCTCCAGGCTCACCCCCTGGCTCTGACAGCACAGCCAGGACTGGCGGCGTGGAAACCCTTGGGCAGCCGAGGCCGCTGGAAGCAGTGAGATCATACACAGGGTGAGTGTGTCGGACACAGCTTCTGCTTTAAATGATGGAATGCACCAGCAGGAGGGAGAGGAGTAGTTAACAGTTACTAACACTAGAATAATCAAATTTGTATGTTATACATATACAGCAACTAACTGCTTTACAAAAAAAGCAAAATAATACAATATATTGTCACATGTATTTACAGTGTAGTAAATATACTTTTCTGTCAAATTTTACACAAAACCTATTTACAGGTGAATATACTGCATAAAAAAAAAGGTGGGACCAACACTCTGAGTGACTGTCTGTGGTTTGTTGCATAACAATAGGACGTGCTTTGTGACTTCGGAAAAAATTAACCTTAGAATGAAACAGAAAAAGCCCTAAAACCTACAACCCGGGTCAGGTCAGAGCCAGCCCTGGCACGAGCCAGGGGCTCAGCCCTCAGACTCAGTGAAATGTTCCCTGTCCTGGGAAACCTCATGCACGGGAAAGCAGAAACGTCGGCATCATTACAGGTAGGTTATACACTATTCAAATACTACTGAGTTATCCTTAAGTCAGGGAAAGTACAAACACAAACAGAATGTTAATTGTCTTTACAGTACTGAGCTGTGGTCAGTGTGGGGCAGGGAACGGGCTCTGAGCCAGGGGCACACATGCTCCCGGGAGGGCATTACATGGTCCACGTGTTCCAATGGGATTTTTCTGAATTTTCAGTTTTCATGTCAGAGCACAGGGATTCTGGGGCTGCAGCTCCAGCCCTGCAGCAGAGCCTGGAGCAGCAGAGCCTGGAGCAGCAGAGCCTGGAGCAGCAGGCACTGCCAGTGGCCCGCGGGCTGCCTGGAGCGTGGGGCACTGGGGACCCTGGGATGGGGCTCCCTGTCAGGTCAGGGCTCACACCCACACTGTCACCAGCAACAACCTGCTGGTCACCAGAGAACAGAGCAGCAGGTGGGGAAAGGATGGAGCAGCCCGGGATGGGAGCAGAGCTCCCAGGGATGGGATGGGATGGGATGGGATGGGGAGTGCTCAAACAGGGAAAGAACAAAGGAAGGAGGATGTGAGAAAGAAAAAGAGGCAAATCCCAGCAGTGGCTGCTGGGGGGAGTGGGAGAGCAATGTAGTGACAGTAAGGCACTCAACAACTAATTACTGATGGGAGTTTAATCATTACACAAAGGCCACGGTTCCCTGGGAGCCAAGCACAAGCTTCCCAAGCACCGGTACTAGGAGACAACGTTCCTGTCTATCAGGGCACACCTGATCCCAAATCCAACCCTGGCCATCAGCAGTCCTTACACCCCAGTTCACCTGTTACCTGACACAGGTGTCTGATACCTCTGCTCTGCCAGAGTCCAGGCCCTCTCACTGAACCTCTCACACAGGGAAAACTCCAACCCACTCTTTCCAGGAAAGAGGAAATTCAGTTTTGTTCACTGACTTTAGGAAGAGATCATTTTTTCCAGCTGGGACTGAGAGCCTGGAGTAGTTCTCACAGGGAAGGTGACTTTGATCCCTGTCCCCTCTGCTGCCACATCTCTGTGCTGCAGAGAACACAGCAGTTCTGATGGAGGGACACTTCTGACATGGGCGATGCAGACAGTGAAGGGCTTGCTCTCTGCCCAAACAAAGCCAGTCGGGCAGTTCCTCTGGAGTTACTGTTCCTGTCTGCAGGAGACCTGCTCATATGAGAAACAACTGAAAACAGCACACCACCTTCACAAGAGGTTGTTTTACTCCTACATACAAATCCTCAGGCTTCTACAATTCCTTGTCCTCAGCAAAACGGGAAGGGCTGGAACCAGCTCAACTGGGCACAACCCAGTGCAAACCCCAGTGACACCAGGGGTGGCTCCTCACAATTTGAGTTGTGAGATGACAATGGTTTCTAACCTGGGGACCCCAAACCCAAGGCTTGAGCCCCTGCTCTGTCCCTGAGCCCAGCTCAGCCTCGTGGCCCTGCTCAGACCCCGCTCTGTGTCTCCAGTGACCACGTTCCTGCCCTGGCGCCTGCACCACCCGAGTGAGGGGATTTGGGTAATTGCACCAGTTCATCTTTCTAGCCTGTTTATCCCATGACTGCTAATTCTAAGTTTTCCTCTTGTTTTGGCAAACTACTTGCATATGAAGTTTGTGTTCATAGTTTTTCCAGGACTGTAAACAAATTAAAGAAATTGTTATTTTATGAATCAATACAATAAAGGTATTTTTATTTACATAAATGTTACATTGTTACTGTGTGGATACATGGGAATTATGTGCTATAGCAATAAATTGGAACCCTTAATTGTACCATTCTCTAATAATTTAGCTGTGGAGTTTGATTTACTGAAAGCCACTAACGATTGCACTGGAGGACTGGCTTTTACCTAATGGATATACTTTTTTTTCCTTTAAAGCCACTGAAGGATTGTTAATTCCTCCCCCAGCAGAGGGATCTGAAACCGGGGAGCGGATCTGAGCGTTTCTGAGCGGAGCTGAGCGAGCCCCGGGGACGCGGCCCCTGCCCGGACTCCAGCTCGCCCCGCCCGTGCCCGCGGGCTCTGGCACCGCAGCGGGACCAGCCCCGGCACCGGCACCGGGCACCGGCTCCTCCCCGCCAGCCAGCGGCTCCTCCCCGCCACCGCAGCCCCGGCAGGAACCGCAGCCCCGGCAGGAACCGCAGCCCCAGGTCTGTGTGAGCCCCCAGGAGCCCTGAACCCAGCCCGGGACGGGACTGCGCCTCCGCCAGGCCGCCCTGGATCGGACACAGTGTCAGTTATTGAAACTCATGTACCTTGAGCACACGTGGCTGTTTGTGTCCCTGCTCGGGCAGCACAGGGGCAGCTGTGCCACACACTATCCCCCAGAGCCGGCTGTGAATCCATCCCATTTTCCCTCCATTCCCAACTGGATATTCTGCCAGGACCTCTTGAAGGTGCACATTGTTGGGAAGAGCAGAACTAAAGCAGGTGCTACAGTGACAGCTCGAGGCTCAGTTCCCAGGGATTTTCCCCTGTACAACTTCCTCAGGGAAGATAAAGTACAGCCAAAAAAAAAAAAAAGCTTTGGGAAAAAAGCCAGTTTGTCCAGTCTGGTCCATGTACAGTCCAAGTGTGTGAAGCTTGGTCTGGGGAATGAGGGACTCCTGCAGCCTCCTTTTCCTCTCCCCTTTATTGCTAATTACCTGAAATTTAACCTAATCCACCACTTCTGCTAAGCTCCTTGTACTGCAGCTATCATGAACTTCTTCTCAGTGTGGTAAAAAAAAAGTACACAGCTAAAATCTTATAGTTTGGATTAAAACCAGGGTTAGAGAAACTTCCCTGGCTCAGGAAGCCACTATTACCTTGAGGCGTGCAAACGGGGTTAAGGATCAACACTTCCCTTAGCAGGAACACCTGAGGCCAGAGCAGACATGGCAGGGCTGGGGAATGGCTTTGGATTCGAACAGGACGCGGCTCTGCAGCGCTACCGAACTCCAGCCTCGCCCGGGGCACAGGCGTGGCTCTGAACACGGCTGGAGGCCAGCAGGGGGTGAAGGAAGGCGTTAACTCAGGCAGTGGGTCAGGAGTTGATCATCTGGCAACGCGGCTGGATGGGAACTGTACAGGTCAAGTGCAGCATCACACCCGGTGGAGGGCCCTTCGCGAGGGGCCGCGCGTGTCAGTCAGGTCCGAAAATAAAAAATAAAATTAAAAAGCGACAATCACACGATCTTTTTGATGCTGTGACGCTTGAAGCTGCCGGCGCTTCGCTGCTTCTGCACTTGGCTGGCGGAGCCGTGGCGCATCCTCCCGCTGTTGGCGTGGCCGGCGGTGGGCGAGAGCTCCACGTTCTCCTTGTCGATCCCTGCGGAGACACGAGCGCCGCGCTGAGCCCGCCGCCGGCAGCCCCCGAGCCGCACGGGGACCCCGGCCCCGCCGAGCGCCGCCCGCCTCGCCACCCCCGGGGCGGGTGTAAAAAGAGCCAAATACGATTGTGGGAGGGAAGGGCTGCAGAGCCGCTCGCTCCGGCCCTCCAGCCTGTGGGGCCGGCAGGGGGCAAAGGCAGAGTAAAACCAAGAAAACTTGGCTGTCCTGCTGGAAACAAGTCTGCTTAAGTGAAGGAAGGAGGAAAACACAAAACAAAGCACCAAACTGACTCTTAATGAGTAAAGAAACAGTTTCCAAAGGAGGGTTTTGAAAGGACACAGGCACAGAGAAACTGAGGCTGGGACTCTTCATGAAAACTGTGCTGAGTTCAGCCTCACCAGTGGCAGGAAGAGGCTTGTGGGGCTCAGGATGAGAATGGCACCAGCCAGGTTTGTGCCCACAAACTCAGACCCTTCTGAGAAGCTTTGCATGTCCTCTGCAGGACCTTGTCCTTCAGAGCAAAACTCTGTTAAGCTTTGCTAAAAGTCTCCCATCAAACAAACCTCAAAACTGAAGTGCTTTAGTGAAGACCCCCCAAGCTGACACAACAGCACCACCCAATGCCAGCGTTAGAGCCCTCAGCAGTGGCTTTGGGCACTGTCAGTGCACACCCAGCAGCCCAGAGCTGGGCCCAGTGCAGTCCTGCTCCTGAGCAATTGCTGCTCTTGATGCTGACTCTGCTGTGAGTTCACCCCTGCAGCAGCCCCTCCATGAAGCTGCCACACTGAGTCTGTCTGGTGAGTGCTCACCAAAACCTCACACCCATGGGACAGGTGCAGCACCAGCAATGGAGAGCAGGGTAGGTGGTTTTATGCAAGAGGATACAACTACAATCAGCAGCAAAAATTAGGATGTCTGATAGCAAATAGAAAGGTGAGAAAAAAGTTCTGTTATTGTAAGTGACATATCCACAATTATGTGCAAGAAATTAATTGGTGTTGGCATTAGTGAGAACAAAGAACACCTTCCACACTCAGCACAGGGACAATGTGAGGGCTCCAGCCAGAGGCTGCACCTTCCTCTCCTTGTGTGGGTGGCAGCACAAAACTCCCAAACTATGCTGAGGACAGGGACAATCCATGGCATGAGCAAAAAACCCTCTTCTGCAGCTTTCTCTTAGTTCTCCACACAAAGCAGAAATGCAGAAGCACACAGCTCCTGATTTCCTTCCCCACTGTCTGCTGCAGTTCAGTCCAAACTCGGGTCTGTCTGCCCGTGTGTCCCTGCAGGCAGAGCTGGGTCCTGGCCAGTCTGAGGAGCTCACACCAAACAGTTCATTTCAGCTTCACACGTGCAGAGGGTGATTTCCATATTAAACATCCCTCTTGTTACCAGATTTATTCTCAAGGCTGTGGGTGACTTTGTCTGCTCTACCACCGGGTATTATTGGCATCCCCCAAGAAATGCACCAGCTTAGCACTTGCTGAAGCCATTCCCGTGTCAGAAACTGCTCCTCATGCCACAGCCCGGCCCTGACGCAGCTCAAGCAGCATTCGTGCAAATATGATGAAAGAAGAGAGTACCTGGATGAGGCAGCTGCATGAAAACTGCAGACTTAGAGCAAGGCAGAGAAGCTTCACAGACACAGAATGAAAGAAATAAACGTAAGTGAATAATGTCCATGAGACTGGGAAGTGGAGGGAGAGGAACAGAGATGGTGACAGACAAAACATTTATAAACAATGATCCTGCATAGTTGTTTCCAGATGCAAGAAATGAATTTTTCATGTATCTGCAACTTAGTATTTGTAGCCATATTAAAAAAACTCACTTGGCTGAAAATGTTTCTTTTAACTGAGTGCTGCTGAACACGTGGCCTTCGCACTGGTGTTTTAAATTTAATTTCCAAGCAAACAGTGCTCAGAGAGCCAGCAGTGTGTTGGTTCAGACTCACTCTTAACCTGAACGAGTTCCCTAGTTCCCAACTCTGTTTGTGGAGACTCTTAACCAGCCTTTGACAAAAGCCATCTGTTTGCACAGCACTTGGAAGGAATGTTTGACGAGTTGGATTAATTCCTTCCTCTCAGCTTGTAAAGGAAGAGGGAATGGAAAGTGGGGCAGAAGGAAGGAGGACATTTACAGAGCAAAATGCTTCTTTCCCTTGCAGAGAGCCCAATCCTGCACCATCACCTCATCCTTGGAAAGGAACTGCTGGAGCTGCCACCGATGCTGTGTTCCAAATGGAAAGATTCTGCCCAGAATGTCCTTCCACACTGACTGCAAGGTGTGTTCCCAAAGAAACCCCTGTTCCCAAATAATTCCAACAGCCTTGCCTTACTCCTGCTGCCCCTCTGAACCCTGAACAAACTATCCCAGTGCCTGTGAGCCAGGGATCCCCTGCAGGGCACATGGTCCAATATAGGTGCTGCTGTTCTGCTGCCCTTAATTCTCTTCCCTTCACATGGAGTGACCTGGGAGACAATTTTTGTGCTGGATAAAATCCAGGATCTGAATCACAGGGTAACAGCTCAGGAACAATTTAATATTAGTTTGACTCCACAATGCACCAATGTTTGACACATAAACACATCCTAAGAGCCAACAAGGCTCCTAAAGCAGGAAATTCCCCATTTCCCCCACCCAGATGGAGCCAGAAGAGGCACTGACCTGGGGAGTGCTGGGAAGTGGCAAGTGAGGTCATGGAGTTGGAGAGGTTGAGGTTTGCAGTGATGCTGAGCTGGCTCTGCACTGCTGGAGGGTATGGAGAGGTGGGGGTCAGGAGAGATTCTTCACTGGCTTCCTCATCAATTCCAGGCAAATATGTGTCAATCAAGGCATCCAGGAACTTCACTATGAGCTCAGCATAGTCTGGGATTTGGGTTTGCTGTGGGAGATGGGGGGAAAAAAGATTGTTCTTTCCTTTGTCAGTTTGAGCTTTGCTCCAGAGCTCACTCTCAAGTCCCTCTGTTTTGCCTGCAAATTTTCAAGAGCATTTGATGTATCTGTAAAAACTCATTTGTGGCCTTGTCCAGACCAATCTAAATGTACACACTGCAGACCAGGTGTCAGTGTGATCTCAGTGTGTGGGAGCCCAGGGCAGGAAAAGGGGCTGCAGAGCCCCTGGCCCAGCCCCACACCTGGGCCACCTCCCTTGGGATGGCTGGACACATGGGCAGTGCTCCACTGGCTCTGCTCCAACACAAAATTCAGCCTCTTGGAATCATCACTCTTAGCAAATTAACCCCAAGCATGTCAGATACATGTAATGAACTGACCCTGGGAGCAGGGAAAGCTGCACTCACACACCCTGGCTGCTTTTACCCCACTTTGGTAACTTATCCATCACAGCACCTGCTGCAGGCCCAGGGCTGGTTTTAGCTCTGCAGGTGCCCCTGATGCTCTCTGCTCACTCATATGAGAAGGATGCTCCTTATGAGCATCTTGGCTGCAGCACCAACGTGCCCAGAAAGGCCAAACAGCCCAGACCCCACAGAGCTCTTACCTTGGAGAAGGGGCCAGCAAACCTCCACAGCCCATTAAATCCAAAACCTGCAACAACAAATGGAACACCACCATGAAAGCCCAGCTCTCCCCTGACAGAGAGCAGAGAGTGCTCCCAGTACAACACTTTTTTTTAAAAAAAAGGAAAAATATTTACTCTGTAGATAGGATGTTTGGTATTGGGGTGGAGACTCCTCATGGTAGACAACACTCTGCACAATCCCATGAATTGGATTCAACAAGTTTGGGTCCTGGCACAGCGATAAAAGGGTATTGATCTTGGAATCCAATAAATTATGCCTGAAGAAAGGAAAAGTGGCTTAGTTTTTGTTCGTTAAATAAAATAAACCTGCAGTTCAGTTCGCAACTGACTTTAGCCACCAGCAGTTCAGGTGGGATTTTTGCCCCAGCAGTGATTTCAGAACACAATTCCCAACTCTGTTCCATGAGGACTCCAATGATGTGCCCAGGTCAGTTTGTGAACACCTGCTCACCTTAACTTCTGACAGCTGGGTTTCCTTTACACATATTCACTCCAGCCAAACTACAGCAGGTGTCTAAAGAAACACCCAAAGAGCACCTGCACTAGGCTTTAAATCAGATTTGAACACCTGGGGCACAAATTAAAATCAACCAGCATGGACAGACTGCAGCCTGTAACTTCCACACAAGCCAGTGCCTTGTGTATGCTTGTCCTGGACCAGAGACCTCTGAAGAAGAGCCAGGTACAGAGTTACTGTAAGCAGAACTTCAGGTACTCACACAACAGGAAAGACCTTTGGGAAGACAACGCTGGCCTCTGCTAAGTACTCGTAGAGGATGCGCTGGTCGAACTCGTCCGTGGTGTACTTCACCAGCGTGGCCTGCCAGGGAAGGAGCTGTTAGTGCACCTGTGTGCTTCCAGCCTTTGCTTAAAGGCTTTCACATTTCTGACTGCCAGAAAGCAGTGCTAGAAAAGATTGATTTATGTCTCCGTTGAGAAGCAACAGAACCAGCTGGCAACAATTTGTCTTTTGCCAATAAATGTATCTCATCAGTTTTTTACACGACTGAGGGTAGCTGGAGTGGGAACTGCAGTGGAACAGCTGCAGAAAAAGCTATCAGACTGCACCTCTTACTGCTTTTAAACTGAATCATCCTGGGATTCCCATAGTGCTCATTTCCTTTAAACTATAATGTATTAATAACCTTTTGTTATACAAAATAGTTTGTCATAAACTCAGCCAGGAAAAACTCCAAGGAACATGTTTGTTTTGCTGGGAGTTAAAAGGACATCAGAAAATAGCAGACAACACACAGAAGAAAGCTTACAAGAACTGTAAGCAGCAGAGCTTGAATTTTTGGGTCAGTCAGAACTTCTTCATCCAGGAGGACGTTTGACTCGGAAACGGAAACTTTCCGGAGGTGCGGGTGCTGCTGTGGTGATATTCTCTGGGTTTCTGCCAGACAAAAAAGAGCAACTCATCCAGAGCAAAATAACCCAAAGCAAGACAGAATCAGGTTCTGCACACCAGAGTCAGTCATGTGCAAACCTCAGAGCTCACCGGCCTCGTCACAAAGGTCAAAGCAACGACTGCACTGGAGTGCAGCAGCACTGCACCACTACATGGGATGTGTTATCAGATGGCAAACAAGAACCCCAATTTCCTCTTCAGTGAAATACAGGCCCAGGGGTGTAAGTACCAAATTTAGGGTCAGGCAGATACAAGAGAAGAACCCTGGTCTTGCATTGCAATTGGGGGTGAGGGCACAGGAAGCAGATGGGGGAGAAGATGAAGAGAGGCATTCCAGGCATCAGCTCACGTTCCATCTCCTGCAGGAATTTGCAGCTGGGGCTGATTAACTTATAGAAGGCCAAATGCTATTCATTTCTTTGCACTCTTATATGCAGTCCTTTAGAGCTGCCCCTGATTCTGCACCTGTAAACTGAGCAGCTCCAGTGCAGCTGCCAGAGATATGAAGGCTGCACCCTGCAGAAGCCATTGCTAAGAAAGGTGCTTCTCCCTTACCTTGGAGTAACCTTGGTAAGTAAACACTGAATTTAGAAATAGTCCTTTGTATAGATATACAAAGCGTTTACAATTAGTATTGTTCTTAAAATGTTAGTCCTGTGTCTCACCCATTTCATAATCATTTTCGGCTACTCTCCTCATTTTGGGAGGCGTTGTGATTCCAGATTCCATGTCTTGCCTTTTAGGAGCCTTTGTGTCCGATATCAAATGGTCAAAACTTTTCCTTGTACCTAAAAACAATTTATCAAGCAATTAAAAACATTAAACCTAAATCCATATTCTAACTTTTTCTGATTTTCTGGCCAAGCTACTCCCCTAATCTACCATGTGTTGACAGGAATCTGTGGACCTTTTCACCATTTTCAGGGATGGGACAGAAAATACGATCACACCATGCCGCTCTCCATCACAGCTTCCAGAGTGCTTCACAATACACAGGAGGGAGCATGCAATTAGTCAGGGGGGCATGCCATGGACTCCTGGCCCCCACACGGAATACACATGCCAGGACTTGGTTACTGAAAAGGAAGCAGGAAAGGGCTGGAATGGAGGAAATGCCCCTGTTCTTCCACCTGTGTAATGCCAAAGGGCTTCCACAAGTTCTGCAAAGCAACTCAGCTTGTTCCTCTGATATATGAGTTTGTTGTAAACATGATGCACTGAGAAGCCATGAGTACAAATCAGATTGTTTACACACATCTACCATGTTCTGGGACCATCTCCTGCAGCCCCAACCAGAGCACTCGATGGAGCAGCTAAAAATCCACCTCCTGGTTTGCTGGAAAGGGCTGGGAGCACAAAACTGGCACCTGGCACCTTCAGGATCTGGAATATCTTGTTTTCTCCACTTCAACATGCACATCTTGAGCATCGCTCTTGCTCCCCCCCATCATGGCCCAAAGAACTGAGTCCTCTTTAACTGTCCAGTGCCCTGAAATTTGCATTTTGCAGAAACTGCATTTATTCCTCTCAATCAGGAATAAGCCCTTAAAGCCAGAACTAATACAAGAACATTTTTCCTCCAGTAACGCTTCCCAGGGTATTCTGTAGACAGATCAATAAATGAGTTATGTTAATAACCTAGAAGCTTTTTAGTGTTGGCTTGTGAAGGCTGCCCCATGTCCAAGCTCATGGATTTCCGGGTGCGAGGGCTGATCTGTCCCACTGTTGGGTAACTGGCAGCCAGGTGTCTGTCTGACCCCTTGGGGGATGACCAGGGCTGGTGTTCCTTTAGTGTCCTGAAAGTGCAGAGAAATTCAATTAAGAAAATCTTAAAACTATGCTATTTAGGCAGAGGTTGTTCAAGCAGCCCAACTATCCTTTCTTAAACCCATCTTTGCTACCCAGGTAATTTCCCCGAAACACATAATAACAAATAGCAATTACTTTGCTTGCAAAGATGTCTGAGCTACTGAAAACAAACAATCTGATGTGAATGTGATGCTGAAGGGATAAAAAATAAAGCCATGAAAAGAACACAAGCAAATCAGCCTATGGGGTAAGATGAAATATGTTTTGTAATCAGCCACTCCAATCTCAGTGCTAAAAAGAGAGATCATGAGTGAAGTGCTCCCTGTTGAGGACACAGGCTCTCCTTGGCACTTCCAGTTGATTTCCTGGCTGATCTCTCTGGCTGCACACAGGCTGTAACAAGGTGTCAGGGTTTCCCAGTGGCACAGACAGCTCCATGCCCTGGAGCTCTTAAAAGGACAAACAAAATGTTCCTCTAAAGTATAAATGAGATTAAATCAGATCTTGTAGAAAGATTTTAGCAAAAGGTTTAACAGCCTCCAGAGCAGTTAAGCTCTGGAAATTAAATCTGTACAGATTGCACATCCAAATTTCTGTGACTCCTGACCCCAGTGTAAGGAGAAATTGCTGAGGAGCTCCCACAGCCCACGGACTCAGCGCTATCAGTGGGGCTCAGCTCACTCACTAAAGGAACCAGGCTTTGCAATGTGGGCAGCTGATCTAAAAGTGAGACAACCAACCTATAGCTAGTGTCACTGTGATGGATGGGGTACGTATCCATGGGAACATTCTCCATTGAAACGTCTGTCAGCAAGAGAGACTTCCTGTGCTTGAGGCTGCAGCGGCTCCGCACCTCCTCCGACACCGTCAGCAGGGCTGCGAACACAGGCAGGGCAGGGCAGGGCAAGGGGAGTTTCAGAGCAGAGCACACTGAACTGTGAAACAACATTCCAGCCTCTGCATTTCTTACAGGCATCAGTGTACATTTACACCAGCACCACTGAGCTGAAGTTACACCTTAGGGAGTGTACAGATTAAAAACAGATCATTTAACAAGAATTCTGTTTCCCATCCAGTTACAATGACACGATTTACAAATTTGCCCTCACATGGTCACTATTTCTATGTCCAGACCACTGGAAACTTGAAGGCTGTCAGGCATACACTGGATTATTTACACCAGGAACCCTCCAGCCTCCCTGAAGAAGTCCCAAAACTCCAGAGGACGTGCTGTGCTGGCAAAGCCCTCAGACCCAAAAAGCCTTCCCAATGTGCCCACCTTGACCACACTCCTGTCCACCAGTTCCAAGCTTTCTTTGTGCTGGTACAGTTTTAACAAGCTGAACCTGAAGGAATTCCACAATAATCCAGTCCTTTTCAGCCAGCTCAGACTGGAAAGGAGGTTTGGTTCATTACCTGCCAGGTAAGCCACGCTCTGGGTGTTCACCTCGAACTTGTCACAGTTCCTGTGTTTGTTAACCAGAGCAAGGAGTGTGTGCAAAATCCTCACTGTTCTTGCTACAGTGGTAGGGGAAGGATGCCTGTACCCTAAGAAACAAAAGATTGTATTTAACTTCTGAATCCATATTTATGAAACACTAATATTTTGAAAGCATTTATAAATATTTTCCAGCACATTCTCAGACATTCCATCTCAAGGGTAAGAGAGCACAGTGCTACTAGAAATGGCACATTTAAGACTAATTCTTTCTACCCCTCCCCTCAAAACTGCATCATTTCAAATGTCTGTGCATACATTATATCTGTTATCTCACAAATCAGTCTTCTAAAAAACCCAGTGAGCCTGAGCACAGGCAAACAGGGAGAGACATTCTTGGAGGAAGAAGTAAAAGACTGCAGCAAATGAAGCTCTGCACCCTATGACAGTTCAGAACTTTCAGCAGCAGCACTAAAGACCTTCACAGGAGATGTATAAAGTAAAACTGGTGAAGTCCTTTAATCCAAGAGTGTTTAATTCTGTACCTACTCTGCAACCCAAGTTACTCAAAATCCATCACCCAACATGGCCCCTTTACCTCTTGACTTGTTTTTATTCCTGAAGCAAGAGCCATCTCAAACAAAGAGCAGTATGCACTCTTACCTTTCAGGAGATGTCCCACTAGTGCAAAGTTAAAGTTGGAGTTGAAATTTAGCCCAACAAAATGATCCATCTGCTTGCAGTGCCATTCGAGTGGTCTCCTGATCTCCATGAACACTTCTTCTGGGCTCTGACCCACAAAAACAAAATACAAGAGCACCTCAGCTGAAGTCACTCAGGACACGTCGAGTTTGTTGGGTTTTTTGTTTAAGTGACAGAACAGTTCTTTCAGAGGCTACAGGAAAATATCAAACACTTTCTCACAGATCACATCTGGACATTTCTGTTCCAGTTTCCAACAGAGTAATGACAACTTCTCTCCACATCTTTATCTGTGGATATCACCCTAGTGAAACAATTTCTAATGCAAATTCAGGTTTAGTTGCTTAGCAAGTGTTCACAAGGACAAGGCTGGGGTTTTCCCCCTTTTCTCTCAGCCCTGACTGCTGCCAGGAGCTCAGGCTGTGGGCTCACCTTGTCGTTGAACACGCGCAGGCTGTCCAGGGTGTGCAGGTTCTGCTCCAGCAGGGCTGTCCCTGCCGAGTACAGGTTCACCTCATCCAGCTGCAGCACAGCCATGGCCACCCAGAACAGAGCCTTGTGCATAGGGGAGTCCTGCAGGGAGAGAAAGAGCCACCACTGCCCCTGAGAGTCAGGTCCTGCAGGTCAAGGAACAACCAGGATGGAGGGGAGGGTTTGGTCCCCTTGGAGCAGGTTTTGTCCTCAGCCACATCCATTCCAAGGGAACAGATGCTCACATGGACCTGTTAATGCACTTCACAGGTGAAGAGTAGAAAGGAAATGAATTTCAAGCCTTGTTTGCACCTCCCAAGCCATTCCTGCTCACCTCCATCCCTTCCTTGATGGATGGAGGTCAGACCAACACTGCCCTGTACCAGCCTGACCAGAAATGGCTCTGTGGTTCTCCATCTGAACATGGGCTGCAGCTCTGCACAGCACTGGCCAAGCACTTCCTCATCAACATCAGACCCACACACAGGAGGAACTGGCACTGAGCACACCCTGGGTCCCTTGAGCAGAGCTGTTTTCTTGCTTTGCAGAGCAAGTTTTACTCAGCACCAGGAGCTGTTTGTCCCTGCTGTGCCCCTGGTGTGCTCTGAGGCAGGAGCCTGGCAGTGACCCTGGCTGGCTGAAGGAGCCATTCCCCTGGCATGCAGGGCAGCAGCACACACAGCTGGAGCTGCACTGGAGCCTTGTGGGGGGAACGGGCACAGCCTGGGCACAGCCTTTGCCCAGCTGCCAGGGCCTGGCTCTGGGAAGCAGAACAGAACATTCCCAGCATTTCTCAAGCCTTTGCACTGGTCCCACAATCTGCCACACTTCCCATATGTGCTCCTTCCATGCATGAATCACAGTGAAGTGTGAACTTCAGAAACCCCAACATTTAACTTGTATTTCTGAGATCATACCCATAATCACAATTTACAAAATACATTCTCTGTTTATTCAGAAAGGCAGTGATTTACCTTGTTAAGAAGAGGCTGCAGCTTGGTGAGGGCTATAACTGTGGCTTCTATTAGAACTTGGCTATTATAATTATCAGGGCCTTTTAAGCAGCTCTCAAGTCCCTGTTTGAAAAAAGAGAGTAATTAAAAATACAACCATAATTACATTTTGCTTTGTAAAAAGAAGATCAAAGATCTGCACAATAACTGTTTTTCTCAATTACTTACAAAGCCTGAGTTCATTTTAAACCAACTCTCAAGAACTTTTCCAAATGGAGATTTAGACAGCAGAAATAAATGTATGACTGCACAATGTACCCTAACAGTCAGGATGCAGGAGGTCTTAAGAGCTGTAGAAAAGCTCTTTTATAGTTTAGACACTATTCAATTAAAGTTTGTGTGTGTAAAACTCCAATGAAATGCTTAAAGGACACATATTTAGTACATTGTTCACCTGCTGTGGAACACAACCTGCTTTAAAATGATGGAACATCAGTGTCAGGCCAGGCACCTGCTTTAAAGTTTTCTGATATAAATCAGCTCTTTACTATATTTACCAACCACACATGAGGCCATTCACTTCCTTTAAGAAAAAGGAAGCTATGCATCATGTGCATGCTGGTAAATGCCTTGACAGAAAATTTCTCCTTTATTCAAATACAGACTGCTGGATCTACCTGTGTCAGGAGTTTTAAACTCAATACTGAGACCTACTGATACTCTAGAAATCACAGCAGTGATGGAACTCATTCAATTTAAATTCAGAAGCCACCAAATCCATTTTAATTCAGAAGCCTGGCCTACAGAAAGTGTATTTCCAATCAGTTCTATACAAGAATATGCTAGAAAAAACATTTATCCTAAAATTATGCCAAGTTCTATATTTGATGGGAAAATAAAGCTAAAAATAGCTACTTTATGAGTCACAAAGGAAAAGAGACAGACCCATATACCTTGCTGAGAATTCGGATTATTTGTTTTATTTGTCCATGGGACACTCGTTTACTTATACAGCCAAAGACAACCAGTGCTCTTGGCTGCAGGGAGGGGTTGTACTGGAATGCAAACCTGTCAAGAAAGAGAGCACACTGCATTAAACAACATGTATACAACTAAATATATATAACAAAAAGATGAGAACTCGGTGTACTGCACAAGCAGGGAGGGCTCAGGGTTTGAAGTCTATGACTTACTTTTGAGCTAGTTCAGTCCACTGGTCCAGCCACTTGCACGTTGGAATATCCCTCATACAGGCCTAAAGGGAATGAGCTTATTTGAATACATGCAACGTGGAGAAAATGTATTTGTACAACTGGGAATGTGGAGAAGTTTGGCTCTCAGAAATCAGCTGCTGTCAGCAGGGAGGAGGCACATCCCCTGCCCCTGCTGCCTGTCCCTCAGGGCTCACCCCCTGTCCCCACATCCCCACACACCTCCATGATCTCCAGCAGGCCCTGTCCCTCAGGGCTCACCCCCTGTCCCTCAGGGCTCACCCCCGTCCCTCAGGGCTCGGGCCCTGGCCCTCAGGGCTCACCCCTGGCCCCACACACCTCCATGATCTCCAGCAGGCCCTGTCCCTCAGGGCTCACCCCTGGCCCTCGGGGCTCACCCCTGTTCCCTCAGGGCTCACCCCTGTTCCCTCAGGGCTCACCCCTGTCCCTCAGGGCTCACTCCTGTTCCCTCAGGGCTCACCCCCTGGCCCTCAGGGCTCACCCCCTGGCCCCACACACCTCCATGATCTCCAGCAGGCCCTGTCCCTCAGGGCTCACCCCCTGTCCCTCAGGGCTCACCCCTGTCCCTCAGGGCTCACCCCCGTCCCTCAGGGCTCACCCCCTGGCCCTCAGGGCTCACCCCTGGCCCCACACACCTCCATGATCTCCAGCAGGCCCTGTCCCTCAGGGCTCACCCCTGGCCCTCAGGGCTCACCCCCGTCCCTCAGGGCTCACCCCCTGTCCCTCAGGGCTCACCCCCTGTCCCCACACACCTCCATGATCTCCAGCAGGGCCTGTCCCTCAGGGCTCACCCCCATCCCTCAGGGCTCACTCCTGTTCCCTCAGGGCTCACCCCCTGGCCCTCAGGGCTCACCCCCTGGCCCTCAGGGCTCACCCCTGTCCCTCAGGGCTCACCCCCTGGCCCTCAGGGCTCACTCCTGTTCCCTCAGGGCTCACCCCTGGCCCCACACACCTCCATGATCTCCAGCAGGGCCTCGGTGACCGTCTCCAGCGAGGTGAGGGCGAAGGTCTCGCGCTCGTAGGAGCCGGGCGAGAAGGAGCGGTCGCGGTAGCTGGAGCGGAACGCGATCACCGCCGCCGACTTCACTTTGCTGATCCCAAACAGCAAATAAAACTTGGGCAGGGAGAACTCAGTCAAGCTCAGCCTTAAAACTTGCTTGGTCTCCTCTGTTGAATAAGGTTGAACATATTAGACTGACTCCAGGGACATTCAAATGCACATTTCCCCCCTAGGGACACAGCCGAGGTCCCTGTGCCCACTCCAGCACCGCTCCCTTTGCCGCTGGCCCGAGTCAGGCACAGCAGCTCTGCTCTCCTGCCCTGACTGCTGAGACCAGGCACGAGGACTGGATTCCAGAGACTCTACAGAGGAACATGTGTAAAGATGTGGCTCTGTGTGTTCTCCTCACAGCAATTCAGAAAATGGAAACCCGGAGTGTTCCTGCTCTGAAAGAACTGGAAGTTCAAACTGCAGCAGACTCTGCTTTTGGCTCTGCACTCACATGAAGAAAGGCACTTAAAGCAGAAGAAAATGATGGCCCTGCTCTGGCACTATCTTTACAGTTCTGACCTTTCAGTTGATTTCAGTGCACTTCAAACCCACTGTGTGAGCAGCAGGCTCAGCACCCCGTGCATCAGAGCACAGACACACAGACACCTCTGTGTGTGTGTGCAGCACACCCACTCTCCCTGCTGATACGTACAGACATAAAATGAGAGACTTAAAAAAAAAGACAAGATCATATAAACTTTGAATTTTTCTTCTGCACAAAATTCAGCCTGGTTTCACATTGTGCTTCTGGGCTAAGAAGTGCCAAACTGCCAATATCAATTATTTCAGGACTGCTAAAATACAGCAGTAGATAAAATACCTGTTTTAATACTGTAAGTTACAATTCCCTTATGTAATTGGTATTTTTGTTACCATGTTATGCAACCCTTCACAAGATGTACATGAGCCAGTTTTAGCACAGATGTATTTTCTCCTTTGCCTTGCCAGAAAATCACTGGTACTTTCTTCTCTTTTTCTAAAACCCATTATACAAACAATTTACATTATGCACCAGCTCTAAGTAAGATATTTTTTAATTCCATACTCATTTCTTGTTGATCATATCCTCATTCTGATTTGTATTCATGCTGAACTACAACCCACTTTTTTCAAACTCTCAGAATAGTTTGCAGAGAAAGACAACTCAAATATTTGTTAAACAAATTAAGGAGCAATCAGCTTCATTGAAAATCCAAAAAAGCTCACCACTGAAGTGAAGCTGTGAGCAAGTGCAAAGAGAGTGAATGATGTTGATGACGAGCCCATGAGTGGAAGCTCTGAGGGACAGGGGCCCCGTGGCCACCAGCAGCGTCACCACGTGGAAGAGGTAGGGCAGATGTGCAGCCACGTCCAGGGAGTTGTTGAAGGAGAGCATGAGCATGTACCGAGCCAGAATGGCAATGTCATCCCACATCAGGTGCTGCTCCAGCGTGGGTGTGGGGGACAGACAGGTCTTGTCAATGATTTTACACATCCTCCCAATCACCTGAAAAGAGAGCAACCATTTTGTTCTACTCAAACAGGGAGCACAGCTTAGAATTCAATAAAAACGATCAACACTCCACTGCTTGGAATCTATTTTATCATGGCTTTTGCATTGCTGCCTGTCCTGAGTTACCAGAAAGCATCTCAGTGTCACATTAGTAAATAAGTTGAAATTCTCTAAAAGGAAAAGAAGGCAAAGAGGGAACTCACTTTGCTTGACACCAGTTTGACATTGCCAGAAGCCAGTGCTACAGCTGTGTCTGCCATCACCTCAGCTTTGATGGAGCCCAAGCCCCCCGTGGCACTGGTTTTGATGAAACTGTCCAGCACTACATCCAGGAGATCTGTTATCTGACAGAGAAAAAGAGCCAGATTAACTTTACTGTTGCACCGTGAACCACCCTTTAAACAGCACTCATTCATTTCTTTAGCTGAAGATGCAAAACTGTCACAAACTGAACCATCCATTTCAGGGACTCGTTACCCTTTTGGCAAAAAGCCCCATGTAAATTTTAGAAGCATAAAGCTGAATTCCATTCGGTTTTACTACCAGTGATTCAGAACTAGAAACTATAATTTAGCACTATTTTTATTTCATTTTCCACTTTAAAGTATAACTCTTTATAAAATGCTGACCCAGGAAGAAGAAACCTGATCTGGAGTGTTTGTTTACAGAGGATGCAGAAGGGGTACCTGTCCCAGGCTGCCCCATATCTTGGCCTGGATGGAAGGGTACATCTGCTTCTCGTTGATGGTCATGGTGATGAGCTTGTCCAGGATGGCGGTGACGCGCTGGCGCTTGGCGTCGTCGTTGTGCTTGCAGAAGCGCACCAGGTTGGACAGCCAGGGGGTCATGTACTCCAGGCACAGGTGCTTCAGCTCAATGCCTGCAACAACACTGCTCATCACACACGGCCAGCACTGCCCCCCTTCATGAGTAACTCTTCCTTGCAGTTTTAGTGCCTAAAACAATTGCTGTCCCAGTTAACAGAGAACACTGGGCCAACAGAGGGGCTTCAAAGAGGCACGGCAAAAGGAGAGAGCAACAGAGCCAGTGAGGAAGCTCAGTGACAAAGCTAGATCTAAAATCCTTTTAGAGATTAGAATCTTTTCAAATTCATGGTTGGCACTAACCAGCACTGCAGTTACTTACTGGATTTGCTAAATCCTGAAATACACTCCTCCAAGAACTCCAAGGTGAGGTGTGGCTCGTTTGCTGCAAGAGTCTTACTGATAGATACAATAAATAGTGTGTTGTTGGCAGGAATACACAGACCTGAAGTTTCCAGTAACTGGCCCTCAATCTTTAAATTAAAGGTACAGGTTAAGGCACATAGAAGATTATAGGCAGCAGACCTGTAACAAAGCAAACAATGTGATTTGTAAGAGCTTTCTTGTACTTTTGAACGTATACATGTTATACACCACAATACTGACATTTCAAAAATCAATTCAATGCTGCTGTAGTAGAAATTACATCTAAATTCCCAAACGTTTTCCCCTGAACAGGCTACAATTTGGAGCAAAAAAGAATTTCCTTGGAGAAAGAGAAGAAATGATTCCTCCACTTGCTCTAAACAATTGCTGATAAGGTTACAGAGTATGTTTGAAGGGCTTTGTATCAGGCTTCTCAGAACACCATGGAGCTCCAGGAAATTCTAAATCCCTCCAGGTGTACCTGAGCTGCTGGGAGAGAGCTGCCCAAAGCCCAGGGGTGCCCCTGCTCAGCACTGAGCCTGGGGGGGCCTGTTCTGACACAAATCACAAACTGCTCTAAGGGGTACAGCTCCCATGCTCTTAAACACGAAGCTCAACACCATGGAAATCATATGTACCAATAAACACAGAGTGCAAAGCACAACTACTGCTCCTCATAAAGAGAAATTAAGTTTCCTTCACGCCTTCACTTCCTCTGACAGTGTGTGCCCTTCTTCACTCACAGGAACTCAATCTTTATTTACTGAGAATTGCATTTGATGGAGCTGTGGTTTTTCCCAGAGCCTCTCTACCAGTGAGCAGCCCCAGGAAGGCCCCTGGGGACCAGAGGAGCAGCAGGGCAGAGCTGTTACCGCAGGCTGGGGTCGGAGCTGCCCAGGTTGAGCAGGGCGATGTTGAGCAGCGTCCCGGGCACGTCCTTGGGGCGGATCTTGGTGTGCTGGGGGATGGAGTCGGGCTGCGAGAGCTCCCAGCGCGTGCGGATGTGGATGATGGACCTGACGATGGCCTCGCACTCCTGGTGCATGAAGGTGAGCGGGGTGCCCTGGTTGGCAATGGTCAGGGTGAACTGGTTCTCGTCCACCAGGCAGATCTCCTCGATCTCAGAGGCGTAGTAGATGTCGTTGAGGAACACGGTCTGGCCCAGCACCCGCGTGCGCTCTGCCGACGTCACCTGCACCGCGGTGGAGCCAACCTGGGGACAGAACAGAAAACTGCTGCAGCACCTCTGGGTAATCTCACAGAGAAAACCCTCACACTCCTACTTTTAGGAAAGATAAATGTGTGAAATTTTGTACTTCTAATGGGGTGTACTCTAAAGCTGTGATTTCTCCTTGAGACAAGGGAGGAGAATTAAGAGACAGTAAAATCTTATTCCAATCCTTAAACAAATAGACCACTAGGAACAGCATTAAAAGCACTTACTTTAATAGAAACTTTGGTGTCTTTATGAGCCAGTTTGAGAGCATTGTGAAACACTTTCAAGTCCTCCTCCAAAGCCAAGGTAGCTGCTGGGAGTTTCTGCTGGTCGTGTTCGATGTGCTCTGCCAGCTTCCCTGGAGAGTCTATGAAAACAAGCCTTTTGCTCCCTTTCAAACCTGTCAAGAGCCTTTCATGGTATTTGGTGTATTCTCTGACCCAAGAGTTACAGTTATAAATAAAAACTGCTGCAACATTTTCATAAGCAAAGCCTGGAAAAACTACAAACCATTTAGAAAGAAAGTCTGTTTTAAAGCGATTACTGGGGCCAGCGTGTGTGAGGTCCACCACGATTTCATATGGCTTTGCATAGTATGGCTTCAGGGTCAGCAGCACGTGGTAGATCAGCAAATCCCCGTTGATCTGACCAGTCTTGAACCTGTAAGACAGGACAGACATGGCTGGGTCGTGCTTGAGGCCCACAGCACAAACCCTGAGTGCCCAGGCACACCAAGAGCACCCCCAGCCCTGCCCCTGAGCCAGACTGACCCTTGTGACAGCCCTGCAAACACCCCTGACTGAGCACTGTGACCCCTGTGACAGTGCTGCACTGTGACCCTTGTGACAGTGCTGCAAACACCCCTGACTGAGCACTGTGACCCCTGTGACAGCCCTGCAAACACCCCTGACTGAGCACTGTGACCCCTGTGACAGCCCTGCAAACACCCCTGACTGAGCACTGTGACCCCTGTGACAGCCCTGCAAACACCCCTGGGCCACAGCAGGGACACCACACTGGCCTCAGGCACTGCCTCACGCTCTGGCCACGTTCAGTGCCCAGGGTGAGGGGGCTTGGATTTAACTCAGCTTCATCCTGAAGTGCCCCCACAACCTCTGAGTGCCTCTAACTTTGTAACAGCCTTAGAGATTCAAATTGTATCTATACTTGTATGTGGAAAAATTTATTTATCTCAAGAGTCTTAATAATCAAATATCCACACCCCAACTTATTCAGAGGGTCCAGAGCCACTCCAGTTACTCTATCCTGCAGCACTCTAATGCTTGGGGGTGTTTCTAAGGATGGTCAGTCCTCTGAGGAGTACTGAGGACTTGCCTACAAAAATACCTCTTCTTAAAAACATTCACATAATTGAGAATATTTTTTCTCACTTAAAGGTTCTCTGAATGTTGAGACTGGGCAATGCATTTGCCTAAACGGCATCTCCAGGGTTCACACAGCAGACTGAATTCTAGTAAGAAGAATTAATTAAAAAGAAATTCATCAGCAGCTTGTGAAATTTTAAGGTATTTTTAAATACCTGTCATTGTTCTGAGCTGTCATTAACTCAACTCTTCCAAGGCAAACAACATGCTACAAAAGAGCTGATAAATGCTCTAAGCACAGGTGTAGCTTTAAGGGTTTTGGGACACTTCTCTTGATAGCACCTGAGTGCAGGACAGCTCAGGAGACAGAACACAGAAAACTCATCTGCACAAGAGATTTTTTCCCCCCGTTACCTCCGGTGGTTCTGAGAGCTAAGTTGGGCAAGCTGGTGTTTTCCCCAACATGTCATGGTGTAGCTGTTACCAAAGGAAGTGTGTCATAGCTGTGGTTTTAGTTCCCCCCTTAGAGCCACATGTCATTGCAGTTACAGGTTTGCCTAAAAAACACCAGCACTGCCCAAATCTCCCTGCTGGACACTGATGGCTGCCTAGGAGCAAATACATGCACAAAGAAATCTTACTGTCAAAGGACTAAATATCTGAAACATCCATGTTCTGTTGACTACATCTTGGCAAGGTAAGTACACATTTTTCTTCTCCTATTTTAAGTTGTACTTCAAAGTTACTTACATTTTGTAGAAAAATATATGAAAAGGTATTTTTACAGAAATTTGAGTAATTAAAAAATAGTAACAAACTGTAGACACAGTATCTCCAAGTGAATCAGGGAAGCTGATGTACTGAATTTTTCATCATGTTAAAGGTTATTCACAGTCAGACTGAGGAATTAACAGTTACAGTCACTACTTGGCTCTGTTGTCCCTGCAGTGCAGATCTCGCTGGGTACTGAGACCCTGTCAATACCCAGACACTCAGGGTTGAACTAAAAAGAAAACCAGCTCTTTAAAGATCAGCTCCTTTGCTCTTGTGGTTTCAGGAGCAGCCCTTCCCAGACGAGCCTGGTTTGTAAGAAAGCACATCTGGAGTGGGAGGCCACAATGAACACTGGGCTCAGTGCTGGGGCAGAGCTGCAGCTGCACCCTGGGCAGGGACAGGGACACTGCAGGGCAGCTGGGCTGGCCCTGCCTGTCCTGCTCAAAACAGCTGAAATGTTCAAAAACCCCCAGCTTTGCTGGCTTGCTTTCCTCTTCCTTTCAAAGTATGCTACAAGGAATCATCCAGGTGACTTCACCATACACAAACAAAAATCCTACCTGAGCTGTAGCTTATGACTGAGATGGTTTCTAGTCCAAACTGAACAAACAGGATTAAGCTCAGGATGGAGAACAATTTAATGATATGGGTGAACTGTGAAGTTACAGACAGATCTTTTGTTGCTTCCTTGTTGAGCAAGGAGAGATCCCCTCACACACCAGGTGTATCCCTGCCTTCCCTCCACCTGTCACACACCAGGACACCCTTCTCTGATGCTTCATATTTACACACACACAAATACACTTTGTCACCTTTAGAGGCAACAAACACATTTTTTCAAGAACAACCATAAAATGAACAGTGTTGCTTTATGTCACTCCCTGTAGCATTTCAATCTGCACTTTGCAGAGTGTGTAACACTAAAAGGAAACGCTTTGGTCTGTTCCCAGAGCCAGAGCAAAGACCCTGGTGGCACACAGCCTTGCCCTGGGAAGGTCAGGAGAGCCTGGCCCAAGCAGCAGCACTGCCTGGGTCACTGCTTGGCTGGTTTGTCACTGCTAATTTGAGATAATTAATATTACCTTCGATCAGACCAACCCCACTCGCACATTCCTACCCTCCAGAAAAATTCAGGTACAGATTTGAATGCCACACAAATGTGAAACAGAACATATGAATTGTTCCTCTCATTTGCATGATTATCAGTGGCGTTTTACAGAAAATGTCACAATCTGCAGAATGTTTGGGAGAAAAATACAAGAAGTACATTTGTGATGAAGAGCTTTTTGTACAAAAAAGCAGAAAAACAAGAGCACAAAGATTTTTCCTGGGCATTTTAAAGTACCCCAGACAGCTGTACTAGGAACTACACACAGTTCACATTGAGTTATTGCTGTCACTTACAGGAACATTCTGGGTTCAAGTTTTTCCCTTGCCCATCTGTTCCCTGCAGGGCTCCCCTGCCTGGCCCAGGGGAATTCAGGGAGGTGAGCAGCAGTCAGTGATGTGTAACCTCCACAGGGTCTCTGTGTAAAGCAGAAGTGATGACTGGGTGTGACATGGGCAGCTTCAGAGAGAAGAACTCCCCGAGTCTGCCCTGACATCATGAAGCCCCCAGCAGGAAACACTTCTCTTTTTCTCCTTGCTCCATGTTCTTTTTTGATCTTTGTAAGTTTTCTGTAACCCCAAACTGTCAGAAGTTTGAGACAATCTATTCTTTCACAATCTGGGCACTTGAACTTGCTCTCCTACATCCCCCCAAAATGAGGCCATGTATTTTTCATCAAGAATCCTGCTATTCCCTGAGAAGTCCAATCCAAATCTCTAAGAACCAGCACCTGCTAAACTAGCGCCCCAATTTGTATTTTTGCAGGGGACTCAACAGGAAGATGCAGATGAGATGTGGTAACCCAGGCCTGGCCTTTCCTGTCATGATCATCTTCTCCCTGTGGCTGCAAACGAGTGCAAACCACACAGGCTACCCCCACCTCAGAGAAGAAACCTGGAGTCCCATCAGCCAAAACCTCAGTGAGAGTCAGAACAGGACAGAAGCAAGCACAAATTCTCCTCTGAGCCTCAATTTCAGCAGCCAAACGACTCCTTCTGAAAGCACCTTGGAATCCTCCTCCTCCACAATGGCCCCAAATTCAACATCCTCCCGTGCCAAAATACGAAGTACCCTGCCATCCTTCTCCTCCACAATGACTCCAAATTTGATTTCCCCTGCCCCAAGTGCAGGTTCCACCACAGAAGGATTAGAAAAAAGCAATAAACCCAAGAGCCCAGCGACCAAAGAAAGCTGTGAAGACAATAAGTCTCTCATACTGATTTGCTTCATTATCATTGCAGTTCTTGTGCTCATCTGCATCTCCCTGTTTCTGTCCACAGTCATAGCAGCCAACAAAATCTCCTATCTCAAAAGAGCCCAGCAGGGCAAACGCAGGCCCAGGAGCAATGGTGACCTCCTGGCCACCAACAGCCTATGGCCCACAGCAGCAGGAACGTGGCAGAGGATGCCCAAGGAGACAAGTGGAACTGAGCTGATAATGCAGGAGCTGGAATCAGGGAGGGATGCTGGGAACCAAAGGAAAACTGAGGATGAAACTACTGAGAAACTCACCAAAGCAGCAGATAATGAACAAGAAAGCAAAGAACCGTGCCAGTCACACAAACCCATCTTAACCAATTTTGTAGTTGAGATTTAATTCACACTCAGGTAAAAATTCATCTTTTGCCTTTGTTACACCATTAATGTAAAAACTTGTGTTTCAAGTAACAGCAAGAATTTTCCCCCAGGAAAGCTAAATCCAGATTTTAGAGGTTTTCCATTTATGCCAGTGGGAATGCTGCAGCCATGTGTGGATCCAGAAGGCAGTAAAACTGTGCTAAATAGCTCTCTGTAAGTAGTGTCAGGACTGGTTGTACTCCTTTGACCAGAAATCAGGGTGACAGGAGCTGAAGAGGATAAACCAAAGGACAGAATCTGCCTATGCTCAAAGCCACAGAGAGGAGCAAGGAACAGACTGTCAGTCTGATCAACACTGAACACTAAGATGCTGCACAGGCATAACCAAGTTGCTTTTCAAAGGAACCATACATTAGTCACAACTCTGATTCAACCACTAACCCAGATCTAGTCCCTCTCAAAATGCCCTTTTGGATTTTCCATCAAGAACTTCTTAAACCAGCTTAGTTACTTTTGAAGCAGATTGTTTGGAACCATAATTATTGTGTTTCCACATGGACTATGAATAAATAAAGTTTGTAGTATTTGCTAGAATATGAGAACTTGTTCAATTTGTTATCTTCAATAAACTTGCAATATGAGTTTTTTAATTGCTTACATGATATTATTTCTCTAAGTCAAATGTTAGAAAAAACTATGACCAGGCATTTTGGAATGTTTTATTCCTGTAACATTGGCTGGCTCAGGAAAGGTCTCTGGTGACTCACTGTGCTTTCCTGCATCATGGAAACACACTCCACTTTCTCCTGACACCAAACAGAACATGCCAGGAATTCCTTTCAACCACACCAACTTTTAGTTTCTTTATTCTCAGA